ATTTAACTGTTTTACTCATAACAGCTCTCAACTGAAACTAGTCCAGATAGCTTTCCATGGGTGAAGGACAAGCAGTGCTATATCCATTCTATATTATCTGAATCAGCAACAAAAAGAAAAAAATTATTAATACATGCAGTAACTTGAATGAACATCAAAGAAAAAATTTCCCAGTTTACAAAAAAAAGCCAATTTCAGAATCTTTTCACAGGGTTTCCCCTTTTTTGTTTTATCATTTCAGAATTTCATGAATCAAAGTGTTTTGTGATCAAATATACTCCCCCCTTCAACCCTACCCCAATCCTCTTCACCACTTTCCTATCCCAACTTCAGGTACTCTTTTTAAGAAGCCACTGGGTCCACTTAGTGCTGCCTGTGTGTTCATGGGTGTGGGACCATCTACTGGAGCATGGTCAGACTCTCAGGGGCCAAATCCCTAAATAAACTGACTCTCCCTCCCACAATGACCGACAGTTGCAGTAGCTCCCCAGCTAGGATGGGACTTGTCTGACTTGATCATGTGTTTGTAGTCACAGCCACTGTGAGTTCATCTGTACAAAGGCCTTGTTGTGTCTGGCAAATACCTCTAGCTCTCATAGTTTTTCAACTTCCCTTCTATTATGATCCCTGAGCCTTTGGGAGAGGGACTATGATATAGATATGCCATTTAGAGCTGAGCTCTCCAGAGTCTCTTGTTCTCTACACTTTGGCCAGTTTGGGTCTCTGTATGAATCACCATCTATTGAAAAAAAAAAAAAGGCTTCTCGATGGCACATAGAGGTTAGGAAGCAGTTTATTACCACACCAGTTTAGCAGAGTGGGAGTTGTAGGTTCTCCCTGGGTCTGTAACCTAGCCAGCCATGGTTTGGGGCTCTTTTCATGGTACTGTGCATGAATTCTATTTCATGAATTGGGCTTTAAATCCAATCAGAAAGTGGTTCAATTTCAAAATGATTTATTGTTCCATTTACATAGCAATGTTGACACAATGCCATTGTATGTGAAAGCAAAGATGAGTAGTTGCTGAGGGCTAGCACTGGTAGGCTAGAGAAAGAGCTGGCTGCAAACAGAAGGTTTGAGCTTGGTGGTATACAATCCCATATTTTGATTGGGGTAGTAACTATATAAGGCTACATGTCCTGGTTAGTTTTTTTTTGTCATCTTCACATAACTGTAGAGTCACCTGGGAAGAAAGAACCTCAACAGAAGGATTGCTCCCATAAGATTGGCCTGAAGCCAACTCTATGGGAGCATTTTTTATTGTTGGTTGATGTGGGAGGACTCAGCCTACTGTGGGCACTAGCACTGCTGGACCAGTGGTTCTGGGTTGTATAAGAAAGCAGGGTAAGTGAGAAACAAGGCAGCAAAGAGCACTCCTCCATGGCCTTCAGTTACTGACTCCAGATTTGCATTTGAGTTCCTGCCCTGATTCACCCTTATGATGGACTGTAAACTGTAGTCTGAAAGAAACCCTTTCCTCTCCACGTTGTTTTCTGTGAGGGTGTTTATCACAGCAATAGAAAACAGACTAGAGTGCTACACTTGTGTTGACACTGCATAGAACAAGCATGCAAACACAAATGAGTTTGTGCACAGCTGGTTAAATCTAACATGCTTCACTCTGGGGAGTAGAGTGAAGGGGGAATGGAACCTCTCTGTACATCTATTTGTAACTTTCTAGAAAGTATTTCAAAATAAAAGGGCTTTAAAATCAATGTAATGTTTTTTGAGTCCTTCATTTAATAACTACAACTTTTAATGGCCTTTCCTGTTATCGTAATAAAATTAAAGTCATGTGAATTAATGGTCACACAGTGGGTATAATGTTGGAATCCCTGATAATAAGGTTATAGAGTTCTTGTAATAGCATAATGACACAATATAATTGTGCATTCATTTGACTAAATTCAGAAATGCAAAAACAGAAATAAACCTCAATAAGGTAAACAATTTAATTTGTATGAAATTAGTATTTGCTTTAGCTAATGAATTTTGTTGGTGTTTAGTGCTAAGAATCAGACCCAGGGCCTCACACATATGTGCAGCATCCCACCACCAAGCTACAAAGATGCTCTCTCTCTCTTTCTCTCTCTCAAGACAGAGTTTCTCTTTGTAGCCCTGTCTATCCTGGAACTTGCTCTGTAGACCAGGCTAGCCTCAACCTCTGCCTCCCAAGTGCTGGGATTAAAGACATGCATCACCACCACCCAGCATATCTCTTGACTTTTCATAAAGCAAGTACAAAATTATGTTAGAGTTCACAGTTTTAATAACACCAATGAAATTAAAAATGAAAGAGACATATTTGATTAGATTGCTTAAAATTTTCGGGGGAGTGTGTTTTAATTGTTTAACCTAGTCTGGCACCAAAAGCATATCCAGCTCAAAATGCCTACCTCCGAAATGAAGCTGAAGGAAACACTTATCCAGGGTGTTCAAATACTGGCACATTAGGAACCATTTAATAGCTCTGCTCTACTCAGAAACCCTTATGCATAACAGCTTCTGTTATTTCTAAAGCATGATGGTAGAAACTACAGGGGAATAATAGGTTGTTATCTCTGGCCTAAATTAACCTACATTCTAATACTAGGTTGCATGCTTACATGTCATCAATACAAAGTAAGTGTGCAAATTGATGTACAGGGTCTAGGTTCACCCAGGAAAGGTGTCTGTGACAGGGTAGCATATGAGCTATGGCAAGCCAGATGGTGAGCATGGGATTATGCCTCTGGGTTGTGCTGAAACAGAAAGGCTAAAGTTGGGTACAGAAACCAGTGTAGGTTGATCTGGTGGGGATCATAATTCTGAACCCCAGATTGGGACAAATAACTGACAAGTGTGAAATTATATAATGGTGAAACATAGAATTGTATGTTAACACCATGGCTCATCGTGCTCGAGTTAATTAAACTTCACTGAGTTTAATTTCCTGATACTATGTTGGAAATGTATTAGTCCCTGTTAGTTGGGAAATCTTGCTGTACTTTTCCACGAGGACATGGAAATAGACTATATTTCACAAATCAACTTGTGTTGCAGATTCAGTCTCTTAATGTCAGATAGAAAGTCACATTGACATTAGTTATTTTAGAGACGATAGTATTCATTAACAGAATCAGCCAGCTAAACCTAAGAAGAGTCACTTTGGCAAATGAGAAATAGGTGGCAGCATGTGTGTCCCACTCTACAGTGTCATTCTGACTTAGACACGGGCAGATGTTACAGTATGGGATAGTTTATTCAGCCACTAGAAACAGACTTTTCGACTGTAAAAATATCCAAGAAGCATTTCTCTTCTCTGCTAAGCTTTCTTGTTTCTTAAAGCTTTATATTAGTGTCCTGGTCATCGCTCTCACAGAAACAGGCTCAGAGTCAACTGTTTTAGAAGCATATTAGCTATTCTCAGTGGGTGAAATGCCATATAATGTAACTATTAGGCAATAGTAGAAACATGCTCTGCACAAATGGTGGATACCATTTGTTTCTTTAGGTTTCCCATTTGCAAGTTGAAAAGAAACTAAAAAATGAAAGTTACCAGGGCCTCTTCTCAAGGCCCAGGTCAGTGGTTAATGCCACTTTTTTTCTCCCAGACATGTTTTTACCCAGGTAAAGAGCCTTTGCTTTTCTTTCTTTGCACCATATTCTCCAGCTTGTTCTCACATTCTTGAGCGCCCTGTGCCTCTCATTCTCTCTCTCTCTCTCTCTCTCTCTCTCTCTCTCTCTCTCTCACACACACACACACACACACACACATACACACACACACTATCTTACTCTCTCTCACTTTTGTTCTCTCTCTCCCTTCCCCTCTCACTCTCTTGTTCTCTAATCTCACTATGTCCCTCCCATTTTTCTGGGACTTGCTGTGCAGACCAGGCTCCTCTGGAATGCATAAACACAAACACGCGCCTGCTGTGTCCTCTTGAGTTCTGGGATTGAGGGTGTGCACATCAGCCTGGCTGGATCACATTCTTTGCTGTGCTCTGCACCATCCTTTTGGAAATTGTCTCTTTCCTGTGCCCTGCTGTCATCAGCTGCTGGCCGAATTTCCTGCTCCCAGATCTGTCCTGTGGATCTCTACCTTGATCTTTACTTCCTGTGTAGACATGGTAGAGCAATAAACCAAGCCACTCACACCTGAACTCACCACACAACTTAGGAGGGGCTAGCTAAAGAAGGCAGCACCAGGTAATCTTCCTAGAAAACTGTCCAGAATTTCTCATAGTCCACACCGTCATTAATATAATTAGCTGAGTTATACAAATGACAAAGTATTTTTATCGTGTGTTTTGCTACCTAAGTAGTGGCTTATGTTGGCAGTGTGGAAAACACTGGTGAAGGGAAAACTTGGTAATTATTATGACTGATGATGTGCTCTGTGTCCTTTTCAAGAAGGTATATGAAATGCAAGTCGAACTGTAAAGCCATTTAAAAATTAAATGGAAGGAGAGTAATGACGTTGAATTACTACAATATATTCTGGTACTCTAGGGGATAGAGTACCATTAGAATCATTAAAATATATTCGTTAACTGTTAAATACTTTCTACCACCAGCTTGCTAGTTTTAGATGCTCTATCCTTCAGGTCCTTTCCATGCTTACCGCTTAGAATGCAGGCCGATAGTCATCTTAGAACTGTTGCCTACCAACTCATGCTGCACATTTACATGTGCTTTTCTTTGTCATACAATTTCAACAAAACCCCGAACACTCCACAGGTATTGCACTTTTTATGTCTATGTGAGAATGTAAAAGCAGTCTGAATTACTATTTAGTATAAGTTAAGGATAAAATAAATGTGCATCACTTAGCAGTCTAGCCCTTTTCCTTGTTGCTTTTCAGAATGGCTAGTACATTGAAATCTAGCCTTTGGCTAGGTGTCACACTCTCATAAAGGTCATCTTCTTTTCACATATTAATTTTCTAAAAGAAAATCAGTTTTTAGAGGATTTCGATTTAATGCCTTCTGTTTACAAACTTTGAATTTTCTTTACAGAGATAGATAAGTTAAATAAAAGTCTGACAGTTTCCCAGAGAAATAAGATATGCCTGGAAGAGGAAATGAAAAATCTCAAATTGTTGTCGGATACAGCCATATTGAGGTCTCAGCAGATGGAGGCGTCAAAGCAACATGAAGTAAACTTGCAAGCCAGGTGCTACGGTCTGCAGAAGGAAGCCCTAGGTAAAGAGAATTCCTTCCTGATGTTAGCGACTAGCTGTAACACAGAATGTCTGCTTTCTTCTTAATATCCTAACAGTCTTGAGTCATCTTGCAAATGTGCCTAATAGTAACAATGATAACTGTGTCTCTACTCGGTGTTTGCAGTTGCCCATTGCAGACTTGCATTTAAAGAGGCAGGATTAAGTGGATATGGAGAGACCTTTTAAGTACAAAGTAAGATTTCGGCACAAGAAAGTGGAATTTACTTTGCTGTTTCATTATCCCTAGGGGATTGTTGGCTTAGGATGCAAAAGGAAAATAGAGCATATGCTGTTGTATAAGAGGAATCCAGATTTTATTTTCATTTTTAATGTTTTATTTCTAAAACTTTAACAGTTTCAGAAGAAAGTGATAAGGTCTTTAAAACTTCATGTTGAATATATAACTCTTAATCATAATATTCTTTATATTTTTTATTGTGATAAATGCATGACCTTAAATGTACCATTTCAAACTTGTTTTTTGAGACAGGGTTTCTCAGTAGCTTTGAAGCCTGTTCTGGAAATCACTCTGTAGACCAGGCTGGTCTCAAACTCACAGCCTTCCAAGCACTGGGATTAAAGACATGTGCCACCACCACCTGGATCAAACTTTTTTTTTTTTTTTTTTTTTTTTTTTTTTTTGCGTGTAGCCCAGGCTAGTCTCCAACGTGTGATCCTCCTGCCTCCTTCAGCAAATCCTACTGTGCACCACCACAACTGGCCCATTTTAAACATCTTTAATTATTAAGTTCAGGAGTTTTAAAGTATATCTACATTTTCTGCGGATGCTCATTTCCTCTCCGCTTGAGCTCTAGGCAGCCCCCTGTCTGCTTTGTTTCTGAGAGTTTGACTTTTCTAACATTGTACACATAGGTGAGATGATATGGTATTGTGGGTTTTTGTTGGGGTGGGGGTAGGTTACTTAGCATGATGTCATGTGTGCTGTCACAGGTGTCAGAATTCCTTTCAGTCCTGAGTGGATACAGTAGTCCATTGTGTTTGTGGGTACTCCTGGTTATTTCTTCGTTTATCTTCCTGTGGACATTTGGGCCTCTTACACCTCTTGCCCATTGCATCTGAGGCTGTGGAGAAGGTGGGTCTACAGATATCTCCTTGAGGCCTTGCTCTGTGATCTCTGATAAATACCCAGAGGCAGGATGGCTGTGTCATTGAGAAATGCCCATACTGTTTCTCTAGTATCATTCGACATTCCCACCATAATGGCACCAGGTTCTTGTCTCTGCAACTTTAGCAACTTTTAATGCTTTGGGTGATCATTTGGTATCTCCCACAGGGAATTGTCTTTTGTGTCCTTTGCCCAATTTTAAGATGTAGGTATTTTTGTTTTTGTTGTTGTTGAATTATACAAGTGTCTCATAAGTGGTACATATAAACTGCTTATCATGTATGTGACTTTCCCATGACATAGGTTGTCTTCTCAAACCCATTTATGGTTTTCTTTCCAGCTGAAAAGGGCCCCTTCTTGTGTTTTGCTTTTGTTGCTCATTAGTTTGATGTCATAACTAAGACATCATTGCAAAATCTAGTATTCTAAAGCTTTTTTTCTTTACTTTTCTTTTTAAACATGAATCCAGAATTTTAGACAGTTTTGGGGATAAGTCTAAGGGATACATATTTCTACCTGACAGTATTGAAAATTGTTTATCCAGATAACTATAAAAGTGTATTTTAATCAGAATGCAGGATGTGAGATCCACGAAGGATCAATAAAAGGAAAACAGGTGGTATTCTAGGAAGAGTGAGCCTGCAGGCAGTGTGTTATGATAGAATGAATACATACTAATGGGAGTCTAGAGAGGGATGAGTATTGGAAGAAAAAGGAAGGAGTCATATATATAGCCAGTAGCACTATGAAGTCAGAAAAATGTAAAATTTAATTTAAAATTGTAATTTTCATATGTGCATATGGGGTGTGTGTTTCATTTGTGTTCCACAGTGCACATGTAGAGGTCAGAGGTCAGCTTGCTGGAGATGGTTCTGTCCTTCTGCTGTGTGGGTCCTGGGGCTTAAACTCAAGTAATCTTGCTTCACAGCAGGTACCTCTACCCTCTGAGCCAACTTGCCAGCCCAAAACTGCAATATTTAACAGTATCAACTGTTTGTCTTTGGGTTGCATATTTAGAGTTGACGTATTGAAGGTTCTCTTGGTAGCAGTTTGCTTTGTTGAAGTTAGGCTGACCTGGAACTCATGCCCCCCTTGCTTCAGCCCCCTGGGTGCTGGGATTCCAGGTGTGTGCAGACATCCCAGCCTCCCTTATGCATTTTGCTTGTTTTTAAAACAAGGTTTCACTGTGTGACCCTGACTGACCTAGCACTCACAGAGATCTACCTGCCTCTGCTTCCTGAGTGCTGGGATTCAAATGAGTGCCACCACTTCCTGCCTCCTCTTAGTAATTTAAAAGAGCAGTTTGAATAGTAGAGATGTTAAGTGTGCTATATATTCAGTTTTTCTAAAGTACATTTTAATTGGATTTTTATGGCATCACAATATCATAGGTTTGTATTTTGTTATAATCAAATGGTGATTTGTTAAAAATTATTTCTGGTTAGTTTTGGTTAAAACATTATTCAGTGATCCAGATTCACTCCTTTCCCACTATATTAGTTTATGTAGTAATTAAAGCATTATTTTTAATCACCAAATGTTCAAATTTCCCACCTGTTAGTGTCTAGTATTGCATGTTCTCTTCTGTTGGAATAATTCATTTCACGTACCATTAGTGTTAATTTTAGTAGAATGACTTATTAACTGATTCTTACAAGTAGTATTTTTTCTGCTGTTCCTACTTTTAAATATATTTGGTATGTAGTTTTTCCCACTTAAAACTTTTATGTGGGAATGTGTGTACGTTTGTGGAGATCAGAGGTCAAAGTTGAGCATTTTTCTCAATTGAAATCTCAATAAGATTTCTCATCTTATTTTTTAAATTTTGAATTATTTTTAGAATTACTTATTTTAATTTATGTCTATGAATTTTTGCTATACAGATGTGCACACATTCTTGGTGCCCTCTAAGGTCAGAAGAAGGTATCAAATTCTCTTCAAATGGAGTTACTGATAGTTGTAAACCACTGCACAAGCGCTAAGAATCAAATTCCAGTCCTCTGCAGCCAGTGCTCTTAACCACTAAGCTAAGTCTCCATCCTCTTTTTTGTGGGGGGAGAGTGGGTCTTTCACTAAACGTGGAATTCACCCCTTGTCTCTTCTACCTGACTGTCAGCACCTTGGAATCCTCAGCACTGATTACAGTTACACCACACCACTGTCTCAGCACTGGTTACAGTTACACCACACTGCTCTCCCAGCACTGGTTACAGTTACACCACACTGTCATATCCAGCTTTTTAATGTCAGTTCTGGGAAGCTGAACTCAGGCTTTCATGCTTGAAAGGCACTTGCTTTACTGACTGTCCATCTCTTCAGCCCCCTTCTCTTTAAACGTTAAGATAATGTTATTACCTATTGTCGGAAGGCTCCAGCAAATCCCTAGTAAAGTTTTTTCTCTAAACTTTATACTATCTTCTACATAGAAAGTTACTATTCCACATAAGCTTAGGACACTTTTTATTACATTATAGTCCTAGTAGGAATTCTAATTAGAATTGTATTATATGTATATAATTTTAGAGAATTGGTATTCTCATACTTATTCTGGTCATTTTCATCAACTCAGGTTTTCTAGTTATGTGGTTATACTACCAGGTGAATACTGTCAGGGTCTTAGTAATTCTAACATTGTTCAAAAGTCAAAGTTCAGAATTGGCACAGGAGACTTCTTTCTGAACATAACACCAGTAGCACAGACACTGAAATCTACAATTAATAAATGGGACCTCCTGAAACTGAGAAGCTTCTGTAAGGCAAAGGACACAGTCAACAAGACAAAATGGCAGCCCACAGACTGGGAAAAGATATTCACCAACCCCACATCTGACAGAGGGATGATTTCCAATATATACAAAGAACTCAAGAAGCTAGTCACCAAAACACCAGATAATCCAATTAAAAAGTGGGGTACAGAACTAAATAGACAATTCTCAATAGAGGAATCTAAAATGGCTGAAAGACACTTAAGAACGTGCTCAGCATCTTTAGTCATCAGGGAAATGCAAATCAAAACAACTCTGAGATACCATCTTGCTCCTGTCAGAATGGCTAAAATCAAAAACATCAATGACAGTTTATGCTGGAGAGGATGTGGAGAAAGGGGAACAGTTCTCCACAGCTGGTGGGAGTGCCAACTTGTACAGGCACTTTGGAAATCAATATGGTGGTTCCTCAGGAAAATGGGAATCAGTCTACCACAAGACCCAGCAATTCCATTCTTAGGCATATACACAAAGGATGCACATTCATACCACAAGGACATCTGTTCAACTATGTTCATAGCAGCATTGTAATAGCCAGAAACTGGAAGCAACTTAGATGCCCACAACTGAAGAATAGATAAAGAAAATGTGGTACATTTACACAATGGCGTATTATTCAGTGGAAAAAAAAATGGAATCTTGAAATTCTCAGGCAAATAGATGGAACTAGAAGAAACCATCCTGAGTGAGGTAACCCAGTTACAAAAAGACAAACATGGTATGTATTTACTCATATATGGATTTCAGACATAGAGCAAAGGATTACCAGCCTATAATCCACAATGCCAGAGAAGCTAGGAAATAAGGAGGGCCCTAAGTGAAACATACATGGTCCTCTGGAGAAGGGGAAAAGGACAAGATTTCTTGAGCTAATTGGGAACATGGAAGGATCGGGGAGAGGGAGTTAGGAGAAAGAGGAGAGAAGAGGAGTGGAGTGGAGAGGAGAACATGAGGGATCTGGAAGATTGAGTCAGGGGAAGAATAGAGGAGAGCAAGAAAAGAGATACCTTAATAGAGGGAGCTAATATAGGTTTAAAGAGAAATCTGGCACTAGGGAAATGTCCAGAGATCTACAAGGATGACCCCAAC